TTTTTGAGATGGAGTCTCACTCTCACCCAGGCTGGAGTGCAGTGGTGCGGTCTCAGCTCACTGCAGCCTCTGCCTTCTGTGTTCAAGTGATCCTCCTGCCTCAGCCTCCCGAGTAGCTGGGACTACAGGCATCTGCCATCACGCTTGACTAATTTTTGTATTTTTAGTAGAGACAGGGTTTCACCATGTTGGCCAGGCTGGTTTTGAACTCCTGACCTCAAATGATCTACCCACCTCAGCCTCTCAAAGTGCTGGGGTAACAGGCATGAGTCACTGCGCCCAGCCCGGTGTTTGTTTTTTTAAAAAGCTGATTAACACCTACTAAATTAATTTTGTAAACCCACTGTTGTCCATATCCTGCAGTTTGAAAAACACTGCAATAAATATCGGTAAGAGGTAGCAGAAGTTTTACCCTTAGCCCAGGCTGCCAGTCCTGGCTTCCTTCCCTTTGCCTCACAGCTGTGCCCTGGGCCTGCCTTGTGACAGCTAGACCCAGGCCAGCCCAGTTCCAGCTGAACAGAGGAGCCACCACGTAGCTGAGAGCCCCTGTGTAGTGCGCCGAGAGCTCAGCCTTCTGTATGTGTCTCAGGCTTTCCCTGCAGGAGTCATCAGGCAGCAACGATGTGGATTCCTTTTTTTTATTTTTTTTTTTTTTTGAGATGGAGTCTCCCTCTGTCACCCAGGCTGGAGTGCAGTGTCGCAATCTCAGCTCACTGCAACCTCCACCTCCCAGATTCAAGCAGTTCTCCTGCCTCACCCTCCCGAGTAGCTGGGACTACACGCATGCACCACCACACCCCGCTATTTTTTTTTTGTATTTTTAGTAGAGACAGGGTTTCACCATGTTTGTCAGGATGGTCTCAATCCCCTGACCTCGTGATCCACCTGCCTCAGCCTCCCAAAGTGCTGGGATTACAGGCATAAGCCACTGCACCCAGCTCAATGACGTAGATTCTGTCCCTACTGCAACCCACAGCCCAACTATGAGAAAGCCATTATTCTTCCCATTGCTCAGATGAAAAGCCTGAGGCTGATCAGGGTAAAGTGACTGTAGAATAAGGACAAACGGGACTGGTCCTCCTTTCAAATTCAGAATGTGAATTAAGCAGGGAAATTGACTCTAAAAAATGCTGTCGAAGTGCTGAATAGGATTGACAGCTGTGGAAGAGAAAGTGCTAGAGACACGAAAAAGCAGGTAAGAAAATGGGCAGGGCGGGTGGGTGTGGTGGCTCATGCCTATAATTCCAGCACTTTGGGAAGCCGAGGTGGGTGGATCACTTAAGGTTAGGAGTTCGAGTCCAGCCTGGCCAACATGGTGAAATCTCACCTGTACCAAAAATATAAAAAATTAGCCTGGTGTGGTGGCATGGGCCTGTAATCCCAGGTACTCGGGAGGCTGAGGGAGGAGATGGCTTGAACTCAGGAGGTGGAGGTTGCAGTGAGCCGAGATCATGCCCCTGTACTCCAGCTTGGGTGACAGAGCAAGACTCTGCCTCAAAAAAAAAAAAAAAAAAAAGGGCAGGGCGGGAGCACCCCTGCCAGATGCCATCTGGCATCATCAGGAACTGATGCACCGAGGGAGGCTGACCTCAGGAGGAGCTGGGGGACTGAGGGGTCTCACTGTGGGCTCCAGTCGTGGGTGAGGCAGAGGCTAAAGCAAGAGGTGAGACAGAGTGGAGAGACCATGGCTGCCCATGCCTGCAATGGACAAGGGAATCTGCAGGGAAGCTCTGAGATCAGAGTCATCCAAGTTTGCAGGGACAGAGAGTGTGTGTGTCTTGGCCCAGCAGCCTGTCTCATTCTCCTGTACACGCCAGCAACACGGACACCCACACCCTCCAGCCCCCCTGAGATCCTAAGGGGAAAACTGACATGGTGGCTGGTGGCCAGGGCAAGTGGACCTGTTCCAAGGACTCCCTCATGCCGTCCTGCACAGCACGTGGACCTGCCAATCAGACAGAGGACAGATAACAGCATGATGTGGCCAAGATGAGCTGGAAGAAGCCATGGCAATGATTTTGGAATGGGGCCGTGTAATGTGCTGGGGGAAAAGGTTAGATTTGGGTCACTGCTCTCTGTTCATGGAACAAATAATCACTGAGCACTTTCTATGATACATCTAGCCCTGAGGTAAACAGTGGAGAAACAGATGGGCCTTTGGGGCAGACAGTGTAGTGAGGGGTAAGGAATAAAGAAGCGGACAATAACAATGTTGTCACCTGCAGGTTCTTTCTGCCAGCTGCACAGACAAAATCGATCCACTGAGGCGGGTGGGTCACTTAAAGTCAGAAGTTCAAGACCAGCCTAGCCAACGTGGTGAAACCCCATCGCTACCAAAAATGTAAAAAATTAGCCAGGTGTGGTGGTGCTTGCCTGTAATCTCAGCTACTCGGGATTACAAAATGGATCCACTGAGGTGGGTGGATCACTTAAGGTCAGGAGTTCAAGACTAGCCTGGCCAACATGGTGAAACCCCCTCCTTGTGGTGGTGCTCACCTGTAATCCCAGCTATTCGGGAGGCTGGGGCAGGAGAATTGCTTGAACCTGGGAGGTGGAGGTTGTGATGAGCCAAGATCATGCCCCTGTACTCCAGCCTGGGCGACAGAGCTAGACTCTGTGTCAAAAAGAAAAAATGGGCAGGGTGGGAGCACACTTCTGGGGTCTCAATTACACCCTATTGTAGTAGAGACAGTTTGATTGCTGCAAGGCCAGCCCACATGGGAGAACTGGGGTTGTCACTCTAGTCAGTCTCCCTGAGGGGTTGGAGGTTGGGGTTTTTGTGGATAGTTTGGTGGGCAAGGGGCTAGGGAATGGGCACTGCTGATTGGTGAGGGATGAAATCATAGGGATGTGGAAAATGGTCCTGGTCCTCCTGCACTGAGCTTGCCTCTGGGTAGGGCCACAGGATCAGTTGAGTCATGAGTCACAAGTCCAGGTGGGGTCAGTCTGAAGGA